TTATAAACATAATTATGTTTATCTATTGTCCCATCAAAAAAGAAAATTTCCACATCTTTCAAATAAAAAAACATTTTCAAGAATGAACAATGTCTAAAGAAACTGTTAACAATTTCCAGATCTCCTATTTGTTCCTATGACTTCTGAATGTTCCACTAAACTCTACTGTTCTTCTCTGCAGTAGCTACTTGTTATTTTTTAACATAACCATAAATCTGTATTGACTCTACATTCATGTAAATTCTGTTATAGCTAATGATAGATAAATTTTGTCTGTAGATACGAGTTGTTGTTAAGAGCATATGATGTAAGATCATGTAGAAACAAAACAAGGATAATTATAGTCTTTAGGGACTGTTTAATTTAAGTACGTGTATTGTTTTCATGAGTCTTCACAGCTATGCTGAAATATAAGTTTGAACATTTATGTAATTGTTAATTGCAAATCATGCTAGTTTTACTAAATGAGAAGAAGTCTATTGTGAAATACAAATTGTTGAAACAGGGTAAGAATTATTATATGCAGGTGTGCTCTTTACACCTGAAAGGTGCTCAAAAGGGTTAAAATACTATAAATATGTTACTTGTGAAGTTACAGTTTGAAGCTTGTGTTTGATATATCTGTACATACAAACTAATAATTCCCAATACTTTTCATCAGCAATAAATCCCAGGAAATGAAATAAAAAAATGTTAAGTTCTGAAGGAAATAAGTAAATCAAGACTTAAACAGGTAGTATTCACATGCTTTTGATAAGCTGGTATCAAGAGACTCACCTTACGCTTGGTTCCGGTCTTTCCAACAGACGTGCTAGTTGTGTGCGTCCTTTCCTGTGAGTTGTCCTCCGTAAGTGATGCAGTAGTAATGTGATAACTAGCTTCTGATGATAAAGTGGAGCACACAGTGTCTGTTTCAGATGAAAGTGTCGAGGCAGTATTTGCAATGTAGGAAGAGCTCGCACATCTGGCCAACTGTGTATCATTTTGTTTTATAGATTCCAGAATGTTTGGAAGGGCTGATAGTTGCTTTTGTCTTTGGGTTCCTTGTAAATTGTAATTTCCCTCTGACATAGACCTGGAAGCATTCTTTTCTGCAGCCTCCTCCAGTGAAGTATTTCCAATGTCACCCACATCGTGATCACCTGATGAGCACCTGTCGTTCACTGAAATGTCTGGCACCTTTACACCGGGATTACAAGCTGTATCATCAGGCTGCCACACACTGTCCTCAGTAATTACAGTAGTGCTATCAGCTTTAGTAACTGTAATGTTGTGAATGTGACTCGACAAGTCCAAACACTCACAGGAGTCTTGCGAGGATTCAGTAGCACTACTGATAGATGTACTACTACACACTGCCATCAGCATGTTACTCACAGATGTCTCCAACCTTGGGTCTCTTTTGTCCATGTCAATGTTATGCTGTCTTTCAGTTGCTGCCTAGAGTGAAAATTAACCTAGAACATTTAGTGATTTCTAATAGTGACTACATACATCTAGACATATTTATTTTCAATATTATTTATAAAATAATATGAAGAACATTTTCCCATAAACACTTTGTGTTTTTATGTCAAGTGTGTGTGTTTGCTGTGTGAGGTTCTAATGTTTTTATGTTGTGTGTGTTAACAACACCTGAGACGGTGACAAAATTTAAAGTTCACGAACTAACAAGTTTGCATGCACGAGTAAAGGTCAAAGTTCACACATCACAACCTTTTACAGAGTGCCATTCAATGTTGTATTGTTTTTTAGACAATCAATCCAATATATTTCCAATTAAAGTTAAAATACTATAATGAACAGGCTCTTCAACATTCAGATGTCCGTACTTCCAGGATCATGAAATGTTCACCCACATTCTGTATGTATAAACAATCAAACAGGCCTGTTTGATTGTTTATACATACAGAATGTAGGTGAACATTTCATGATCCTGGAAGTATGGACATCTGAATGTTGAAAGGCCTTTCAACATTCAGATGTCCATACTTCCAGGATCATGAAATGTTCACCCACATTCTGTATGTATAAACAATCAAACAGGCCTTTCAACATTCAGATGTCCATACTTCCAGGATCATGAAATGTTCAACCACATTCAGTATGTATAAACAATCAAACAGGCCTTTCAACATTCAGATGTCCATACTTCCAGGATCATGAAATGTTCCCCAACATTCAGTAAGTATAAACAATCAAACAGGCCTTTCAACATTTAGATGTCCATACTACCAGGATCATGAAATATTCACCCACATTCAGTATGTATAAACAATCATTTTACTCCAATTTATTTTCATTTTAAAGTGCACACAATAAATGTAACTTGACAAATAACTTTTGCTTAAGAAATATTAAATCCAATAACTAGCAGGGGTTGTAAGAATAAAATTTATGATCTAAACTACTATTTTTACAAACACAAAACAAGTTCAAACTGAAGGAAATCTTGTTGTTCAGTGTTTGCTAACTCCACCAGACTTATTAAATTTTCACTATTGTTTCATGAGCTCTTGTTTGTTGAATGAAAAGATCTCTCCTGAAATATCAGATTCTTCTAAATGGAATTGATGTGATAATATTTAGAATATCATGGCAAAGTCATTTTGACTAAATAAAGAATTAAAATATAGTGAAGAGTCCATTTAAAAATAAAAACCTAATATTTAAAGTAAAAACATTATAGTTTAATACAGCAGCTCTCTGTTACTTAGTACTTTTTAAAAAAATAGTAGTGTAGTGTCAAAGTAACAATTAAGATTATTATTATTGTCAAAATATTTTACTTTATTATGCCAAGTGTCATCTACTACATTGATCTGTTCTTCAACACTGCATGTCTTATCTCTGTATTGATAATCCTCTTTCCCTGAGAAGTCCTCTGAAGTAAGCCTCTTGATTCCAAACACAGAAGACATAAAGTTTTCTCCATGGGTTCCTGAAGAAGGCTCGGGGCTAGAAGCTGAAGGATTAGATTCAGGATTATCTGCTGGAGTTGTAGGAGAGGGAACAGAATCTCTACTTGCTCGCATCATTCTTCGTTTTTTTAGGGGAGTCAACACATCTGTTCATAAGAAATTAAAAATTAAGAAAATATTTAAGACACATTAAAAGTCTACAAGACATAACAGTTTATACAAATTACATAACTACAGAACAAGTTTTAAACTAGAAATCCAAAACACAGATTTAATTAGATTTACTGTAAAAAGTTTGAGAAAATTCAACAATACACTCATACTGAAATGTTAAAGACTCACATCAAAAGAGTTAACTCTCTCAACACGATTTAACTGACCATGTGACCTCTTTGTACTCATATAGTCTTTATAGATCTGATACTACTAATGTTTAATATAGTATATATATATATCTTCACAAAATTTAGCAATTTTTCAGTAAATATTATGAGTCTTTCACATATAAAAAATCATATTTCTAGTGACATATTTTAATTAAACTAAAAAAAGATCTGTCCATGAATATATCGAGTATTTGTTTTAATAATCCATGTGCAAAATACTTAAAAATACTTTTCTTCATCTCAAAAATCTCAGATTTGTGTAATCTCCTAAATACATTTCAAATGTTTGTTTTCAGTAAAAATTTATATTTTATCTGTTATTTTCTCAACCCTAACTCTATACAAGGTTGGTCAATCTGACCGACAGTGTAACCACCCCGAAAAAAAATCAAAAGAAATTTAAATTACCCTTTTTTCTTTCTTGAATGACTTCAAATTTTGACTTGAAACTACATTTGTTTATCCTAAGCAGCTTTAAACTCGTAACAGTATACAACTATTTATAATTAAATTTTATTGCCCTTTGAACCATGTCTAACTACTATTCTCACCATTATAAGTTGTAAATCACTTGGGGAATGTGTAGCTTCCGTTACACCATCAAATGACGTTGCCCACATTTATTATATTATTATTATTATTTATTTTACCTTAACTAACCTAAACAGATTCCTATTTTTATATTTTGGTTACTTTTATAATAATAAATAAAGAATAAACATGAAAAATAGAGAAATAAAGTACTTACCCGAGTCTTCTTTTTTCTTGCTGTCGATTGTCGATGACACTTAACCCTCCTTTTTTTTATACTAGTGGTAGTAGTGCAATTAAATGATTTTTATTTAATCAAATAAAGCAACAAAGAACACAGAATAGTAACATGCTAAAAGTAAACAATTGCCCCTAACTCTCACATTTTTTCTGGTGTTCTAACTATGCAACAAGGACTGTTACAAAATCATCAAAGGTAGTTGTTATCTTTCCCATGGCAACAAAGCTTGTACTAACAGTGAAATTAAAATTCTCTGTTCAGAAAACCTCATTATATAATACGTCATTTGATAGATGAAAACCTTGGCTTTCTATTGGTTATAGATAATATAGAATTAAATATAAGATAGAACTATTAACAAATCCCGAAAGAGAGGATGTGACAGGTGGGTGTGGCAAGAGGGGTCTGATTTTCTATTTGATGGCTCTGTAACTAAACAAAACTGAAGGCTATAAAAATTATGGTTTGTCTGTGCAATGAAGATTTTATAGTGAGTAATTGATGTTGAATTTCATACTTATTGGAGGGGTGGTGGATAAAATAAAGAAGAGGAGAATGTAAGTCACTAAAACCTCATGACATGCGCAGTAAAGGATGTCTATGGCAATAGGGTTAATTGAATATTATTTACTAAAAAGAATTAGTACATTTTGTAAATATTACACTTTTCAACTTTGAGCTTTATTTTTTCTGAACATTTTTACCAATAAAAATAGAGTTAGAGAAGAAAATACATACTTTTAACAAAGCTAGTAATTTTCACCTTTATTAAGTACACTTAAAGCTAAAAAAAAAAGAAGAGAAAATCAAAAGATAGACGTGTTAACAAGACAAATTACGAACTGTTGTCACTTCATGAGTGCATAGTGCATTCACAGTACTAGAAAATGAAGAATCTGAGGTTATTACAGGCTATGCCTACAAAAAAAAACCCACAAAGGTTCAATGCAACAGCAAAGATAAATAAAAGAAAATCAAAAATACATATACTAAATTGAACCAAAGGATTGGGGAATTTTTAAGGAAGAAATCTCACAAATGAAGATCTCATATCAATTAAACTATTTCTAATAACAACAAACATTTTCATATGTCTATGAAGAAATGTATAATATTTTGAAAGCGAAGTCATTGAGAAAGCACAAGTGTTAATTACAACTGTACAACAAAACCTTCGGTACAGACACTTTTGGTCATACCTATTCCATGCTAAGGACCCAAATAAAAAATGTGAAAAGGACTACTCCTGTTAACTATTTACTATCATACCATACCTCCTGAAGGAGATAAGCAGGGGCTGTTGGCTTCACTCTGGGGGTTAGGACTCATAGAGCCATTGTGTAGTGGTGAACAATGACTCGTCTCTATCCCACATCCTTCTACACCGGGTAGTTCCGTTTCACACATAGCTTGTCGCAGCCAACGCTGAAGAAAAAGAAAGACAAATACTGTTAAGAATTTTTTAATAGGAAATAAGAAAAGATTATTGGTTTTGTAGATTTTTACTTTTTTACCATGAAGTCAATATCACTTCACCACTGGAAAAATATCAAAAGAACAGCAAATATATAAATACTTCATTTGAAGACAACTGCACACATATGTACACATTTGAATAAAATAATTCTATTTGAAATATTTCTACATAACTATCCTTTATAATCTACTAAGACCTTAATTTTTTGCTATGAGATAGCTTTCCAACATGTTTCTGCTAAATCTGTTTTGTATTAATTATTCTGTTTCTATACTACAGAATTGAGATGACAATAACTTAAAATACTGTTCTGTACATACTGTCAAGACAAGGATTCGATCTTAGAAGCTTCTAAATATATTATACTTTAAAAATTATCACAAACCTTTTTAGCTGACCCAATGCTTGATGATTGTTTACCACTATTTCCAGAAGTGCTGTTTCGTCTGAGATGGGCAGCCAAGATTCCTGGCCCACTGGGAGTGTCTTTGGTACAGCGTACATAACATGTAGGACTGGCAGTGGAGAGGTCCCAGGATAATTCAGTGTGAATTGTAAGAGGACACGAGACTGGGACGACAGTCTCTGCCTTTTCCTGCATCCATTCGTTCATCAGAAACTGTCAAAATTTAACCAAACATAGCTGGTAAGTAGTGTGGTACATAACAGATATTTCAAGCATCAGCTTACATAAAACTAGTTGAAGTACCCGTCCCCTGGACGGAAGTTATGTAAATTCATGATTAATGAAAGGTTATCTTAGGACATGAAAAGTTATAC